CTCGGCCCCTACACATGACAAGGCGAAGTGCTAAGCCGTGCACTTCCTTTGCGTGCTAGTCTCCGAGTCGGGCTTCCTCTCTATCGGTAAGCTTCCGTGGTGTCTTCTTGTTCATTTGCCCACATTTAGGCCACTCGGAAGTTGGATTTGGTTCTCATCTTACAATGTTCTGGTCCCGGTAGGGCCTTGCCATGAGGCTGACTCCGAGTCAGTGGCAATCGCGTCGCATTCTGGCCGAGCAAGGAGCGTACAGTCAAGCTTGGAGAGGACGATCCGCGTGAGGTTTCAATACTGTGGGAGGAGCAGAAGCGAAACAGAGTTCGAGGGTGTGTTGGTTTTCATAATGGTGAGCGCACGTTCGTGATAGAATCTGTCGCAGAGCACGATGCTGTCGAAATAGATTTGCTGCATGTCAAGAGTCTCAATGTCGCCGCAATGATCACGTTGACAGAGAGAATGCCGGTCGGAACAGAATACTGCGGCTTACTGCTGTCACGGATGAGCTCTGTTTGTGCTGCGGCTCACGGACTATGACACTGATACACTGAGGTGAGTGCACTCTGCTTACTCCAACTATGCACAGGGCCAGCATTGGTTGTGTGTCCATCAAAGTGGTCAGAGAGTCTTTCGCCTTCCCGTATGTTCTATCCCGTGGACGAGTTCTACCAAAGGGAACCGCCGGAGAGCCTTCCTGTGAGTACTGTTACTGCATCAGATGTCCATCAAGTTCTTCATCATTTCCGTGCGGTCCATCTAGACCTTGTTCTACTGACCGCGGTCTGCACGGGTCTATGAAACTGAAAGTCGCATGCTCCAGGCTAGCGGGACGTCTTCTTCATGCAGACCAGTCTGGGTGCAGGGAGGATGGCCAGCAATGGCTGCCTGCACTCGTACCTCGTCGTTCATGCCTCTTCCGTGATCTAGACTACCTTTTGATCTCGTGCAGTACCGTCAGACCCAGTCTGTGGCCCTTATCGTGCTCGACGTTTGATGTACGTGGTAAGCAGCCATCATCACTCTTTTGACTGTCGCAGTGTCCTCATTCACTTTGCATGCTCTACCCAGGCAGATACTGCGCGTGCGACGAGGTCCGTTGGTCGTGTGTGTGCGTTGACGCTGCCGCTGACCGGCAATTACACTCTCAATGCACGTATCATGCCCCGCCCGCAGTCCTCTATACGTACGTTTGCGCGTGTATCTCGAGCTTGGTTGGCCCTTTAGCCGCTGCATGATCTTAAATATAATCATGTTTTATTCAATAATGTAGCGATGTGCGCCAGAATACTGTAAAATAATCGAGAAAATGCGAAGATTACCTGAATTCTCACATACATGAACACGACCAATGTTCTCCGCACCGATGGTCGCACATCTGACTGAACACGA